AAGGTTTTAATATAATTTAACCAAGTTTTACTTTTACCATTTAGACGTCTGTCTAAACTCTTGATTTCGTCTAGCAATCTTAGTAACAAGTCTAAAAGTTTGTATTTTGTGATATACATTTTGAGCTAGATGAAAATGGCATTCTTTATTTTGAACATTTGAAAATTCTGTATGAATAGCATTAATAGCAGCTTATTCAAAATATGTTAAAACAAATTGTGTTATAAATCAATATTTTGCTCTTCATTAAAATCAATTAAATTCTGAAACAATCTCTTATAACATTTTTCAGACTTGCCAGATATTAACATATAGACAAGAGGTATAATTTGAGAATTTTTTTTCTCCAATACATCTATGAATAATATATAATTGTTTAAATATAGTTGGAATTGTTTTAAAAGTTCCATTCATAATCCAAAAAGAAGACTGTTCTAGATGTTTAATATTATTAAAAGTTGTAAAAAGCAATATTCAATTATAACCTATAATTGAATCTTTAATTAAAAAGTCAGATCTATCTAGAGTTTTTTGCATCTTTTTAGGAATAATAAGATCTTTAAGGATTGTGGTTTTGTAGGAAAATCAACATGTCAAATTCATTTAAATGATTAGCAGAATGCATTATAAGATGAAAGGTATAGATGAATAATTTGAGTAGATTGATCATTGGTTTGTTGAGCCTGTTTTTTTAATATATTAATGATTTTTACTACATTAATACAGTTAGCTTCTGCAGCATGATTGTGATCTAAAAATTTTTGAAGATAGTGTTGATTTTTAACCAGTTTAGTGATTACTCTTTCATGACATTTTAATATAGCTTATTTTTCATAAATCCAATAATATAAATTATTTTAATTTTTATCTTTAACCATAAGATATCTATGAATATTAATTTTAATTTTATTATGAGTAGAAGGAATAACTTCACAGATAATATTATTCATTTTTTTAAAAAAAAGGATTGGATGCTTTTTTTAAAAAGGATAAATTAAAAAAAAAAATATCTGAATGTATTTTAATAAAAATAAGAAGTAGGCATGAGTAAAAAAGAGAAAGGTAGGCATAAGTAAAAAAAAAGGAAGTCCTACATAATTTTATTGACATCATAATGATTTATAAATTATATCATTGATTCTTTTACAATTGATCATATACTGTGCCTAATATTTATCAGTAAAAGAATTATCAGCCAAACATATCTGTCGGTCAAATGATAATTGATCATATGATTGTCAGTCATGTGTACTTGTCGGTCGAGTGATTGTTGACTAAATGATTATTGGCAAATTGTGTGTCAGTTTATTGATCTAAACCCAATATAAATATATTTAAAAAAGGAATAAATAAAAGTCTTGATAATGATATTATTAGAATAGAACTTATTAGTATAAGTATAATATCAAAAATTTAGAGAATATTTATTTTAGAAGAATATGATATTAAATATTTTAAGTTTGTAAATATTTTCAAGAAATTTATTAATAAAAAATTAATTTAATAAATAAACTATTTTAAATTTTTTTTTAAATTTCAATGATAATTATATTAAAAAGTTTTTTTATTTTTTTTTGATTTAATTATAAATTTTATGATTACTATGATAAATTTTTTATTATAACTTTTTTTTTATATAAATTTTATATCAAATATATAAAGATAAAATAAAAATCAGTTAAAATATATATTTTTTCTTATTACATATTTTCTTTAAATATATTTCTATGCTTAGTTCAAGAGGATGTATTTAGAAAAAAAAATTTTTTTCTAATTTTAGTTAACTAAATAGGTTTTAGTAATTTTAGCTATTAAATAATTTAATTTTAAAATTTAATTTAGATAATAATATTAATTTATTCTTAAAAAAATTAGAAAGTAATAAGGAAAAACTTATCTTTTGAAGTAATTTTAATTTTAAAAATCCTAAAATTAATTTGAAAATATAAATGAATTTTTTTGAAAAAAACAAAATTAGTAAATAATAAAAAATATTTATATTATTATTTTTCTAAGTAAATAAAAAATTAAAATTTTTAAAAATAAAATTTTAAAATTAAAAAATATATTTATTTTATATTTTTTACTAATAAGAATTATATTAATTTAATATTTAAAATGATTTTTTATATTAAATAATTTTTAATATTCAAAATTAATTATTAATTTTAAATATTTGATTTTTTTATTTGTAATAAATATGTATTTAAATAAAAATCCTATAAATTACTTTTTTTATTTATGAATATTAAAAGATTTTTATATTTCTAATTTGATATATTAATAATTTTAATAATTTACCTTTTTTTTATCTTATTTATTATAATTTACTAATATTTATTTAATATTTATTAGTAATAAAATTAAAATTTGTTAATTATTTGAGTTAATTATTTTAAAAAAACTAATTATAAATATTTAAAATATTTATCTTTTAGATTATCTAGCAAATAAATTTGCTTATAAAATTAAAAAAAAAGTATTATTTTTTTTATAAAATATTAAATATAATTTTAAGTAATATTATTATATAAATAATATATTTTTTATTATTTTTTTATAAAACGTTAAATAAAATTTTAAGTAATATTATTATTATATAAATAATATATTTTTTATTAACTTTATTAATAAAGATTTAGTTTTTTAAAAGTTTTTAAAATAATTTAATTTTAAAATTAAGTTTCAAAGAATTTATTATAATAAATTTTAAAAATTTATATGTTTACTTACATATTAATTAAATCACTTTATTATTAATTAAAGTCATAAAATTTTTAATAAATTATAATAATATAATAATAAAAGTTTTTCTTTATAAATAATTTTATTATGTTAATATAGCTTAAAAAGGTTATCATAGATTAATAATGAAAATTTTTAATATATATTTTTAAAAATTCTAAATTTTAAGCTTTTTAAATAACCTTAAATTTTTTTATTATATAATTTACAATACAACTTGCTATAAATATTATATATTTATAAAATTAATTTAAAAAAAAATTTTTAAAAAAATAAAAGTAAATCAAAAAAGAAGTTATAGTAAGCTACTTGCAAATTCCTATAATTTAAAGATTATAAAAATTATTTTTATAAAATTTAAGAAATCTAATTTATAGTAAATACTTAAATAAAAAATATTATATACAATCCCATAAAATTAAAAATTTTAATATTAATAAAATGATTATAATAAATTCAGAATAAATAATATAAAAAAATAAAAAAATGTATAAAAAAAATTATTAAACTTTAATTAAATGTGAATTTATCGAAATATGTTTTTAATATAAATTCAAATATGTTCAAGAATACCACCAGTTTAAAAAAATAATATAAATTTTTTTCAGAAAAAAAAGCTTTTTCATTAAATTTAATCAAAAAGAATTGCAAAAAATTTATTTGAAATAAAATTGCCTATCTTTTTAGGAAGAGGTACAGTACAGTATGTATTTAATTATTAAAATTTTATTACAATACAATAGTTATACAGTCGACCCCATGTATAATTACACCCCTCGGCTCTATACAGGGGGTCGACTGTATTAACTTTCAAAAAATACATTTATAAACTTTATAAGTTTAACCTTATGCAAATTATATAATGCCGGGCCAGGAGTTTATGTGTAAGATACTTGGTCAATATCGGGGAACCATATATATTTAACGTTAATAAAATGCCGTTTGTTTATCATTAATACTGCAAATGCAGAAATTCATGCCAAATAAACCCACCGGAAATCGGCTTATCAATGAAGTCAATAAAGGAAGTTAGTGAGTCATTCTGAAAGTAATGAAGATAACAATCGGTAATAACCGAAATTTAAAGATATAATAAATATTTTCTTTGTCTTTGATATTAAAGGACGATGTGTGCAAGTTAGATATGATCTGTTTCACGCATGACACTGAATGCACAGGCATTGACTGCAAGATATTTATCTTCACTACATAAGGATATATTGAATATAATCTTTAAAACATTAAATGTTTCATAAAATTCACCCCTTTTTGAACCATTTTCCTTTTTTAAAGCTTTATTTGGATAAATTAAACCTTGAAAATTTAAGGTTCAATTTATTGCATTAATTGGATTTGAATTTTAAATACGCCATGACTTTTAAAAGTTTAACTTATTTCGGGCCCGCGATATCGGCTTAGCCGGCTCGAACATTAAATTCTCATTATGGAAAGTAATCCTTTCAAAGCCTCACACGATATTTATTCTGATGTTTTCACAAAGAAAATGGTCTGTTAAAAAGAATTACCACTTCAGGTATAAAGAAAACGTAAAACGTACATAAATGACATTAAGGCTTTTTTATTTTATTAGTTCATTGACGATACGAGCTCATTTAAATCGCCGAGTCAAATTTGGTTTTTGATAATCGTCAACAAATTACAACCACATTTCACATGATATGATTCTCCGTCATATTTCTTAAATAACGAAAAAAAATAATATTCATGAATAAAGTTATACGCCCAATTTACTTAATCGATACTGCGTCACAGCCAAATATTTGCAGAAAAAAGAATAACTCCTTTTAATTGCTATTATTTAATAATATTATTATTATCACATCCCAAAAAATCCAATAGTTTCTTGGCAAACCTAATCGAGTTGAATGATGATTTATCAAAATTGAAGAATTTTAGTTTAAGCCTTCTTAGTTTAATTTAATAAATACCCTAATTTATCCGCATGCACTTTTACAACCGGTTTAGACGATTGAAGTTTCCCGGTTCAACTACATTATATGTTCCACATACTTTACATATGCACCGTTCGGACCATGACTATAACCGGAGATAAAAATTCTAAAAGCACACATTTATGATTTTATAGTTTAAAACCTTCCGAATTGTTGATTTTTATCTATCCAAAGTAAACAATTATTGTTAGCAAACGCTCTCATTGCATATTAAGTTCATAATGGATTTGTTTATTATATCAAGAATTTCCATAATCTAACTATTAATACAAAATAAATATGTTTCACATTCCAAACATCAAGGTACAAAATCCGATTTTTTTTAAGGATTATTTAACCCAAATAACCATCTGAAACAGGTTTTACCTTATTTGCTATATCTAGGTATCAAAAAATACGTAACCCTTGTCGGAATAAATTATTTTTTTTTTGATGATAAAGTGCATTGCATTACGTTATTTTCATTGCATACCAAACAAGTTTTATTTAAATTTGGTGATAGATTATTTTGTAGTTATTGCTTTTATTGGTTAAGTCTTGTGTTTGTATGTATGTTAGCGATCAAATAAGGAAAATAAAAGGTGAAACCAGTTCTTTTTAAAAGAAAAGAAATTTTGTTCTTATGGAATGAATGCACGGGCTACGGTATGAGTATTAATTATTATTCGGATTTCCTTATCGATTGCATTATATTAATTGTTAAGATTTTAATTGTATTTTGTATTATTTAGAAAAGTTTGAATAAAACTCTTTTGTTTCTTTGTTGATGGAAAACCAATCGATGTGCATAAATTGAACGTCCACGTTTTTTTTTTTTTTTTTTACAGAAAACTTGCTTTTTATTTTTCGCACACTATAATATAATTTGACAAAAAAAAAATTTTTTTCATAAACGAGATTTACAACTAGAAAATAAGGTATAAAAAACATTCCGAATTAAGAGATGAAAATTTTCACATGTAATAATTGGTTTAAATATGTTCAAAACAGGAATTAATCTTGTAATGTAAATTGAATGAGCATAAATTTAGATGTCCATCCTTGACATCAACTCGTTAAAAATTCTTTTTTGATAAATAATTAGAATTCCCTACAAAAAAATTCTAGGAATCCATTTATAAGACACGAGACCTTTTTATTTACGTTACATATGCAATAATAGCAGTAGTTTATGTGAAGCATATTACCAATTCTGAATGTGATTTTTTTTCTTCAATATTTCAAGGATAGTAGAAGAATACGAAAGAATGATTCGGAATATGTGATGATATATTGATATAAAACAATAGTAATCGTGTTCCAAAAAATAAAAAAAGGAATCAATGAAGTGTTTCTTTTTTTTCATACCAAAAACGTAACAAAAAGGAACGACCAATCAGGTGCTTTAGTATTATGGGTCAGCTGGGGTCATAAATTATTACACGTGTTTTATGTAAAGTGCTTATTGGATGACAGGATTAAATATACCTCGGAGTATCATTTTTTCCTACCTGATCATAACCTGATCGGTGCTGGTGTTTTCTTTAACGAATGAAATTAATTTGTACTATTTATAAATGTTTATTATAAATTTGGTTCAACAATTTATTTATATAATTAAAAGAGTAAGAAATTTGTGGATCCATCTGCATATCATTACTCTCCTATTTTAGTATATATAAAAATGTATCATTACTTTTAAAATGCAATAAATAGGAGAAGAAATGTTTCCTTTTTTTTTTTTTTTTTTTTTTTCAGTCAAATACCTCAAATTTTAGATTTCTTTCTTTCTTTTTTATTTTATTTTTCTTCATTCTAACATTCACAAATAAATTTTTAAAAAACCATAAATCACAAGAAAAAAAAACTATTAACTTGTTGATTTACACGAAAAAAAACAAATATTTGACCACAAGATAAACAACAGCATATATATATATAAATATATGAAATCGTATAGAATATATATATATAACAAATCATCATTAAAAGATCGTTGTCGCTGTTGTTTGCAAAATCACTCTTTTTCCTCTCCAAAATTATTTCATTGCAACATGTATCGAAAACCTCTCACCCTTCATAAATTTTACAGAAATGAAAGTCGTAAAGAAAGTAGTAAACAACAACAACAACAACAAAATATCTTTTCTCACAAGAGACGCACTTCCTCTTTTGATAATAAAAATCCACTTCATCAACATTCTCACATAAAATTTTCTACGTCATTAACACCGGATTGTTTCGCGGAAATTTTGGTTCATTTACAAGACGACAAATCAACGTTATACAATTGTTTATTTTTAAATAGATTATGTTGTCGTCTGGTCGTTCCATTATTATGGAAGCGTCCATTCGATTTAATTCAACAGACTTCTCACTCCGCTGAAAGAGGAGAAACTTCTTCTTCAACGCTCAACTCATTGGAAAGAAATGCGACATTAATCATTAAGACTTATATATCATGTCTACCATCATCGGAATTACAAAGATATTCCAAGGAAGGGATGATCATTCCAGAAATGACTCGTCCATTATTTGATTATCCAACTTATTTAAAAGGCTTTGACGTCGCGTTACTTCATTCCTCAATCGAGTATTACTTCACCAAACTACTAAGAAATACCAGGTTGATGCATTATAAATCTCCTTCATTTAATCCATCAACTTACTTGGCTCAATGGATAGTGAATAAAAGCAACTCTCTTCATTCGCTGAATTATCAATACGTCACTGAGGACGCATTAAAATCCGTTGACATTTCATCTTTCAAAAATATTGAATTGAAGTTACAACGATTAACCAAATTTGATTTCATTTACTTTCCTCAACGATCATTTATTAATGATATTAAACCGATAATTTCTGAATTATTCCTTACTCTAAGTAAAACTTCAACGAATATCCACGAAGTTAAACTCATTTTGAACAAATCTTCTGATCCACCCATTCATCAAATTTGTCATTTCTTGTCAAGTTTACGTTATTTAACTACTTTTAAATCAAATGAATTTTGGTTAAATGATGATCCCACCTTTTTGGATGTCTTTTACTCTCTAAGTAAACATTTAAATACTTTGGAATATTTGGAATTCTCTGATTTGTGTCACCTCAATCGACCTTTATTGGAATTACTCTCTAATTGTAAACGACTTAAAGTGTTGGAATTTAAAGGGTTCAATTTATCTCAACATCGTCAACAACGATCAAGTTCGAATGATTTCTCTGATTATTTGTTCGGGAGAAGTTGTGTGGATTCGACTCTGGGAGATAGTTCAGGAGAATATAGCAGCAGCAACAATTTCGTTTCTATCGGGGAGGAGAATATCAATCCTTCATATAACATTTCGGTGGAAAATTTGATTATTCATAGAAATCAGAATGCGAATTCAATCATCCCTTTACTTAATTTGATATCCCCTTTCTCATTACGAAAACTTTACATTGAAAATACTACCCCTGAAATCATCAATATTATTTCATCCCAATTCATCTCCACTTTAACTCACTTATCAATTCGTCCTTCAAATGGCGTCTCCTTTGCCACGTTTGCTACCTCTCTAAAGAAATTACTCAAGAGAAAAGATTGTAATTTACAAAGTTTCTCATTGAAATTATCGAGGTATGATGGTCACACCTTGGATGATTTGAGGTCTATCTTTGGCGCCCTTCAAAAACGGGTTATTCACCTCACGTTGGATGTTGATGGATTATGTGAAGAAATTAATTCATTGCAGAGAGTTTTGAAATGTTTAAAGTGTAATTTGAAATCTTTGGATTTGATTTATGAAGAGACCGGGAAAGATACTGAATATTTGGACATTGTGAATAATTTCTTGAAGAAAAACAAAGATATCATGAGAATTAGATTTATTGTTAATAAATTGATCGCTGATAATGTCAAGAATATTGTTAGAAACGTAAAATCAAAGTCAAAGAGAAATTTGGAAATCGTGGTTCGAGCTTCTAATCAATTACTAGCCGATTGGACCTCTTTGGAGCAGAGCGTCTAATTCGATCGAACCGTTGTAAAAAAAAGTTATGTGGCGCAGCAATAATATGCGTCATATTAATTTGTATATTATTTTGCCTCTTAGTATATTTAGCATATTTTAAACGATTTTAATATTTTATTCAATTTTAATTCATGTAATATAATTTTATATCATAAATCATAAATCATAAATCATAACGCACTCACACTGTTTGAATTTATTTTTGTATAACATGTTGAACTTTTATAGAAATAATAGACTTTATTTCTTTTTGTATATTTCATAGATCTTAGAATATTTTTTTATTAATTGGTTTTCTGAAATACGATCATTTTTTTATATTATTTAGTTTAAATTTTAATAAATAATACTTGTATTCTTGTAACTTGTTTCTGGGAAAATGTTTGAGCTCCGTATTAACATTTTTTTCTTTCAGAATCAATTTAACTCCCTATTTCATCGTAATAAATTTTTTTTTACTAGTGATTTCCGATTTAATAAAAGCTGAATGGGTTATTTTTCGATTAGTATGGTAATATTTGTATATCATACGGCAACTAGGTTAATGAGAATCTGTTAAATTTTTTATTCAGCTAAAGAAACAGAATCACAAATTTTAGTGTTCAACTACATTTTATGATATGGCGTGATTTATATACCATATCCCGTTAGTGTGTGAAGAAAAGCTAACTCCAACCTTTCTCTTTACATGCAATACAACACATTCAGTTAAATAAAAATTCACTATCAAAGCAAATCAAGGATTTGATTGTTTTTTTTCCCTGAATTACGTAATTTTTTTTTTGAAATTATTACATTTGTTGTAATCAATATTCTTAATCGCAAAAAAGAATTGAAATATTTAAATTAAGAATGTAAAATAATCTAGGTCGTAACATTTATTGATACACAAATTCAGCAGTGTATCATTTAATATCTAGACTACTAATAAATGAAAACCGCTTTTGAGCTTTTTTCTTTGATTCTAAATAAGAACAAATTTATTATATAACGTGTTTAATTTTGTGTTAATGTTTATTCTTTCATTCTGCTGAAATTGTTTGTTTTGTTTTTAGCCATTGCTCTTTGTGAATCATAGTGTCACGTAATAAATTTGTACTAATATTAAATGAGCATATCTGATATGACGAAAATAACAATATTTGTAATTAACGTCGTTGGATAATCAAGTGACAAGTGTTTTAAAAAAAAATACCGTATCATAATATTAAAATGTACCTTTTTATTCTCTTTTGTTAAATAATTATTTTAGAAAATTAGAAATAATTCCCAAATATTTGAAAAATTATTAATATAATTTATAAAATATATATTTATAATAAAAATTAATAAGTTTAAGGTTTTAAGTTATACTAATTATTGTTTATTAAAATATTATAAATAAAAAATATTTTAATTTGTGATCTTTTTATATGTAATATAAAAACTTTCTTAATTTCTTTGAATAACCTATTTTTTATCATTTTTTTAAGATTTAGAATTTTAATAAACAATAACTGATAACTTTTTAAATAATTTTATTAATAAAATATAATAAATAATTACTAATAAAAATTACTTTAAATAAAAATAAAACAGATGAAATTAAAATATTGTGTTATATGTTAAATATAATTTTTTTACATTAATTTAAAAAAAAATTTACTGCAAAACATTAATATTATATTAATTTAAAAATATAAATAAATATTAAATGTATAAAAAAAAGTTTTGCAGTAAAAAGCGAAGAAACTCTAATAAATTAAAATTTTACTTTATAAGTTAAATTTTTAGTAATATTAACATAAAAAAATTTTATTTTTATTATACATTTAATTTAAATTAATAACTATTTTTTACAAATATTAAAATTAAAAGTTATATAATATTATTTTAATTATTATATTGTAATATTTGTAATATTTTATTAATAAAATAATTTTTTGTTTTTTATTTTTTTTATTTTAATTTTTAAATTATATAAATAAATTAATAAAAAGATATAAAACTACAAAAAAATAAAATATATCTTTATAAGCTAAAATAATTTTAAATAAAATAAATTCAAATTTTATATTAATTTAAAAAAAAATTTTTTTAGAGTTTATATTTTTTTAAAATAATTATAAATTATAATATTAAAATTTTTTTTAAAAAATTATGTTTAAATGTTAATTCTTTTATAGTTTATGTAATAATTTACTTATAAATATTTAGTTTTTATGACTTATGATTTATATTATTCAAAATTTTTTATATAATTATTGAGAATTATGAAAATTTATATAATCATTAAAATTACAAAGATTTATAATATCACTAAATTTAAAAGATTTATAATGTTACCAAGACTCATAAAATTTTGTAATATAATATAATAAAGATAAGAAAAGAGTTTATTGATAATATAGTCACACCTTAATATAATGAAGTTAATGTTTAGGCTGATTAGATCTTTATTATAAAAAAATTCATTATTATTATAACTAATTATTTGGTATAATATATGATTACTAAAAAAAATACAATCATAATTTTATGATATAATTAAAGTTAATTTTATGATATATTTTATAGAATAACCTTTTTGGGCTTAAAGTTAAAGTGATTTTGAAGTAATTTTAGTAATATAAAAATTGAAATTAATCTCAGGTATAACAATAAATATAAATTTATTTTTAAAAGTTTTTATTATTTATTATAATTGAAAATAAAAAAACGACTTTATTTTAATACAAAATTGAGAACTTTTTAATAAATAAAAAAAAGTAAGAAAATTTATTAATGATAGTCCAAAATTCAATTAATTATCAATATTATTTATTATATAAAAAAAAATAAAAAAATTAAAAATAAAAATAATAAAAAAAATAAATATCACAAAATAAAAACCCAACTCTGGTAAAATAAGAATAAAATAAAAAATTGAAAATCTGTCTGATAAAAATAAAGAAATTAAAAAAAAAAAACTAAAAAAAATTAAATCCCTACTCCTATTCCCAACTACTAGTTTACTATTAACATATTATAGACTCTTCTTCAATGATGTCTTGTAATTAAAAATGTAAAAATGCTTAATATAAATATAAAAATTCCTAAAATTTTATTAAGAATCATTAATTAAAACATTTAATAATTACCTAGCCTATCCTAAAACCTAGTTTAAAAGAGATTATAAAATTATTTTCTATTATACAACTACCTTGCTCTCTTCTTGCATTATTATATCAATCACAAAAGTTCTAAGAAGATATATTAATTACTTATATAATTAAATTATATTTATCAATATATTATTATTTATTTATTTACTTACCCCATAATTTCTCATTAGATTTCTTCACTTTTACTCATATTAACAATCAGAATTATTACCATTATAGTATCAATTTATTCTTCTTACAACATTCTGTTAAAATTTTAATTTATTACCATAAAAAATATGATATATATGGTTGTATTGCCTCATCTTTTTAACTAAGTAGTCAGTTTTCATTAATGATGCTATCTGAAATCTATTTTAATGTGTAGCTTAAAAATTGAGAAACTATTTCAAAACCTTTAAAACAATATTATTATAAACAAATAGTTTATCTCAAAACTCAAATTTTTTAAAAATAGGTTAGAAAGACATCTTTAGTCTTCATATTTCCCAAATAATTCTCAATGTATCAATTTATATATTATAATTTAGGATTATTTTTTTGAGTAATATAATAATAAAGAGTAGCAGTTATATCTTATTTATCAAATATATAAAAATAATAATATAATTAAATATTATAATAGGTAAAAGATGCTTCAATATCTATAATACAAAAACATTTATGAAGAGATTATAAAATTAATAAAAACCATTTAGATGAGCCAGATAGTGATATTAGAACTGTTATGAAATATATTATTATAAAACATTAATTATATTTAGAATAATTATTAATTACTTTTATTATTCTTAATTGTCAGCTATTATATATGCTTAAAAATCAAGTATTTCAGAAAATACTTTATAAATTTAAATCAGAATTTAAAATACCAACAAAAGAAAGATGCAAAAAAATAATATAAGTTAACTATACCATTTCGCTCTATTCAAGTTTTCTAATATTTCATTGATTCTTGGTAAGGAATAAGTATTTTCTTATGTAAGTTTATTTAATTCTCTGTAATCAATATATAAGCATTTCTTTCTATTATCTTTTTTTACAAGAATAACAGGTTAAGCCTATAGACTGTCAGATTCTTAAATAATTCCTTCTTTTAGTATCTTCTTGATTTTTCCATTGATTAAAGTTGCTCGCAAAAACTCCTTCAAAATAATTTCATAATATCCCTTATTATATTTTAATATAATTTTGATTAATTTTAGATTTTGGGATTTTGTCGTACCTCTCACTATATTTTAATATAATTTTGGCTGTTTATTAATAGCTTTTTTAGGTTTTATTTTTCATCTTTACTATTAGTGTTCTGCAAAAAATCCGATTCATTTCAAATCTGATCTAGATCTAATAGATCGTATTGAATCAGATTATCAGATTTGAATCAGATTCAGATCTGTCAGAACTGGATCAGATTTAGATTTGGATTTGATTCAATTCAATGGATTCAGATTTGGATTCAGATTTGGATTTGAATTCAAATCTGATTTATTAGATTTGAAATAAAAAATGTTGTCCAGAAGTTAGACGTTACATTTATTATTAAAGAAATTTAATTTTTAATAATAAAATGCTACCTAAAAGTCAGACGTAGCATTTATTATTAAAAAAATTTAATTTTAATAATAAATGCTGCCTGAAAGTCAGACACAGCATTTATTATTAAAAAATTAATTTTTATTAATTTTTAATAATAAAATGCCGTTTTGAAAGTTAGAGGTAGCATTTATTATTAAAAATAATTAATGTTTAATATTAAAATGCCGCTCTGAAAGTCAAACGTAGCATTTATTAATAAAAAAATTAATTTTTATTAATTTTTTATATTAAAATGCCACCTCAAAAGTCAAACGCAGC